TGTACTACAAGTTTAGGCATGGATGTATTGTTGGCCACGGAAGTTGTTCATTCAGATGGAAGGGACAGCTTCCATGACGAACAATAATAAATGATTTATACAACTATTATATTTGGAGAATCTAGTTGGAAAAAACAAATATACCCCGGTAAGTGTTTTTTCATCATTTTTAATAAAATCATTGCAATTTTTTTTAGACTGACAAATTATTTGATACTATTATTAGACCGAAATATTTCTACTCTAAACATACCTACAATAAATATTAGTAGCAATGAGACTGAAGAATGCAAAGCTTTTGATATACATTTTCTCATTTTTGAAATTGATGGTGTATTTTGTAAACTTGATGATGGAAAAATAGTAGGAGATTTTGCTTTAGAATTAGAAGCATATTTTGTAACTGGAAATATTTTTTTTTCTTTAAATAATAATAGCTGTTTGTGGTGTAATTTAGACTTTTACTGCTACCTATAATGAATCTATAAAAATTTTCTGTTTCTAATTAAATAGAATTATTTCTTTTCGATTATAATAAAATTAGCATGGTGCACATGCTTTAATACGTCAAAAGTCTAAATGGATGAGTAAATAATTTAATACGTATCTATTTAGGGGTTAATGATCCAGGCAAATTGTCGTAACTTCATAAAATGTAAATACAAATTGTGTTTTAATATAAAGTGTGATTAAGTCTTACATCTCTTGAATACATGCAATATTAGCAGCATGAAAATTATCCAGTGATTTCTAAACAAAAATTAGATTTTTATACATCATTCCTCGCTATTTTTTTAATATTATGATAAGGCTTAAGGTAAAGAGTAAATTGTGGAGAAAACTTCTTTATTTAAAAAGTTGTTTTTTACATATACTGTCTTATATACTAATATGAACTTATATATATTTTTCACCATATCTACTTATATGCCTACTTGTAGATGATATTCACATATAAATAATATTTATATGTTATGTAAACCATATTTTCTTGTAAACTATATCTACTCGTAAACCATATCTATTTGTATCATGAATTGTATATTTTATGGAGTTTCTGTTTATTGCAATCTGCTAACTATGCACTGTATGGCATAAAAAAAATATATATATATATACTATACAGTTATTACTATACAGTTATTGGATGCTTCGCGTCCAATAACTATATATTATTAAAAATATTCAATTTTGACCGGTCTATCTTGCCATATATGAGTATGCAGTATCATGGTTAAGTAAGTTTATAAACTAGGTCGTATCAACTTTTTTATCGTGTATAGGTTAGGTCATGCAAGTTTTGTTGTTTGTACATATGAGTGCGTGAGAATGAAAACCTGTAACTGATCATAGTAAATCATTATAATCAGTTCCAGGTTTTTATTCT